TGGTAGATCATTCGCTCTGCTAGCATTGTACCAGGAGTAGGTTTTGTGGTGTGTACTGACGTAGCTGGGTTATATGCCTGTTCTCTTATGTCTTGCACACTTCGCGGGCGCTGTGATGGGTTCTATGGCTCTGTCTGTTCCGCAGTACTGATGTGAAGCCGAGGTACTGGACCACTGTAGCGATGTTCTATATGGTCGAAAGCAGAGTCGAAGGGCTGCTGATAGCTTCTGCTAGGGTAGCATTGGGACATGTCTGCGACCATGAGTCAGCTTGCTGAATGATTGCCTGAGTTATCTACGTGTTGTCTTTTTGTTGGCCGCTCCTTGAAGCAAGTGGGACAGTGTTGAACCAGAGGGTGTGGAGTTGAAGAACACGCATAAGCAGGATAGGAGGCCTCGTCAAACCGGATCCAAAACATACCTCAATCCAGGTGTTCAGCCTTCTGGAGCAGCCTGAGGCTTGCCTGAAAGTATACAGTACGCAAGATTTCGGAGAGGAAAAAAGGCATGGGCGTGCGCGTTAGTAAATGCAGCGCACCATTCGGCCGCCCCTTAGCTTTCTGCGCTGTCCAAACAAGGCGATAGTAAGACGTCTCGGTGCCCCAGAAGTCCTCCGTTTCCTACTTCCAATGCACGGACCTGCACTGCCTACTGGTGCACCGGGAGTGAGGAAGCAGAAAGGGTAGTCAGGCTTGCACACCGGATGCCAATTTCCTCTCGTGGTGCTGTGTCAGAATGGATGCACAGAGTTTCCGATTCGAATAAGGTTCTCAAACCTATAGGCAAAGTTGTAAGCCCGTCTCGTCCCTGCAATTATCGCAACCAGCAAGGCATGGTGGTGCGATGACAACGGGCGGCCTCTCACCAGCTCCTACAAGGCAAGCATCGCTCTTCCTTGTCCATTTCCTTGCCTTCTACAGCCTGCATTAGCGCGAGGGACATGCAAAATTCAAGCGTTTATGCGAATCACAAATGGGGGCTGTTTAGACCTGCCCGTGCTCAGAGAAGTCCTCCAACTGCCCAACCAATTATCCTCAAGAGAGCGGTGATGCGCCTAGCCTTTTTGGATGCTAAGCTGCACATTTTGATTGCACATACTATTTAGGGGATAAGCTTTATGCAGTGTGGCATATGTGATATGTGTTACATATAGCGGAATAATCTTTTGCTGTACTAGCTAACCCTAACTAAATCGACTGATGTGTTGCTGTCCCGTTATACCGTGCGTCCCGGCACGCTTGAATTGATATTATGTCTAAAATGTTCGGTGTTCTGGCATACAACGTGTATCTTCAAGTTGATGACATAGATAATGCCGTCCGACAGATAACATATCATCTTCTCCCAGCATCATGCATATGTCGATTTAAGGATCTAAATAGCACTAAAACTTTAAAACTGCAGCTTTGAATCTGGTAATCACGAGACTGGATCGAGAAATACTCAGAATCGTACTAATGAACTTTTTACATAAGATGCTATACATAAACTGCACGCTGATAGGCATTCGTTATCACGATAACTACGATATGAACGAAAGTTCATGTAAGCAAATGAGTATGGACAGCTGCATTGAAATATATCCATGATGACGATGTAAAGATTTCTCACCTGCATGCAGCCCAGCAAGAGTGTGTCTATGACCGTGCCACAAGCCTCAACTGAGGCGGCCTGACTGAGTACGAATAGTATTTTAGAGCCGCCAACAGCATGTTATACGTTCCACACCAAGTCTTCTAAAGGTGTCTTTGGCAACACCATAAGATGAATATAGTTCCTGAAACACCTGAATGCGTTCGGTATTCAGAGATAGAACACAAGTACTACTTTTGGCATTCCAAGTACCCCAATCACATCCAGTTCTTGGAGTGGAACTCAAAACATATCAACCAAGTTCAGAGGTAGGATTTCCCCTAAACTTTCTTACACATGCGAATGTAACTGACCATGTACGTGCGTAGTACTACTTCCGACCCCGAGATACAAAACACCATTAAGAAAGCCAGAGAGAAGCTACAGTGGCTTTCTCCGGTGCCTCAACCTAAACTGTCAAGCCAGCAAGCAATTTTGCCTCAGGCAACTGCACCTTTGCCTTCAGCAAGATTGGCAACCGGGAAGCAAAAGCACGCGCACACACCACCTCACCACGCACCAACGCCAAGATTTTCTCATAGTGTGCCCTGGGAACACCTTACCTGTAAAGATTTTGAGGAAAACCCAGAGAGATCTCGCTCGGATCTACATGTGCTACTCAACTAGTTAGTTTGATTACATAGGACAATTATTGTATTAAACTATTCCGTCTTACAAAATATAGGATTTGTTCACGGAATACTTATGATTTGCTCACGGCTTAATTATCTCACTGATTAGACATTACACACAAACAAAAGCACTCGAGCTCTTGCATCATGATATTTGCATGGCTCTAGTGCAGCGTCTAGCGGATGAGATAGCGGCTTAAAGCGCCACGCTATAATTTCCACATCTACCATGTTTCAGTCACGTGGCGACATCGTAGTATTAGCCTTTTATTTGCTGGCGTAGTACAGTCATTAGCGATTGCAGCTTCAATCTTCCACGCAGCTGCGCAGCAGTTTCGAACAACCCCGCCTCCAGTACATAGCTTAGCGCAGGATGTCAGCTACAAAACAATCAATATGATTAGTCAATTCTCAGTTTCAGGATGACTGGACTTTTAAGATGCTGCGTGCGGAGGTGAAGCCACAATCGCTAACGACTGTAACAAAGACCACGGCGACTAGGTTAGTGAGTGTAATTAACAGTGGTTAAAGCCTGACGACATCGTCGAGCTTGGCCTCTGGTCTCACTTGATACAGCTTTGCCAGCAAATGTGCGATGTAATTATGTAGTGGGTAATGGTGCAGCCAATACAGCTATTAGAAGCCTCGTTCACTATGTTGTAGGAGGCATTGTCTCATCTACTGTTTTACTTGAGACATACAAGACGTTAGAATCTGTATAGAAAAGTTTGGCTGTATGTTAGGCAGGGTGTAATCACAATTACGAAATAGAAACGTTATACCTTAAAGAGCTATACTCGCGACAGTTTGATAGAGGCTATCCATACGATTAGGCCTTAAATATAAAGCCGTATATATGGACATGTATGTGATTACATGTTGCCTATAACACCAGTATCAGCAGACGGACTTATGTTGCTGCAAAATTTCATCTTCAAAGACGCCCGTACTCTTGATGAAAGACGCAAGCAGAACTTCCAGCGACACCTACTCAAACTTGCTAAAGCTACCCAGTTATCTTTGACTAAGGGTGCCCTCCTGCAGAACCACATTCAACTCTTAATGGCGGTTAACAACGAAGCAAAGTCTCGACGATCAATGAGAGCCAATATACCCGAGAAGGGGTCCGGGCAGATATTTACTTATGAGCATCTTTGAGATAAACGGTTGAGACGAGCGGAGGAGGCGGCAGCCAAAGAAGCTAAGGCTAATGCTAAAGGTAGAGGAAAGCGTGGTCAGAAGTGTAAGAATGCAGCTCAGGAGGCAGCAGAGGCCGCGGCGTCCACAAGTACAGTGAGGCATGGCCGAAAGCGAAAGAGTAGTGAGGTAAGTTAGTGAGGTAGTTAGAAGCAGAGGCTGGCCCATTGGTGCCAAAAAGCAAGGCTGCAAGAGTGAGTAATGTCCAAGGAATCGCGCCAGTTGCACGAATGTATTAGGTTAGGATAATCAGTGATGATAATATGGAGTAATTAGTTATTTGGTTATGTTGTTTGGGGATGTGCTTACTTGCAACAACGTCAGCAGCCACGGTAGTCCTCTCTCATACACCTGGTAAAACCGGAAAATGAAAACAACCGGGCATCACCCCCCAAAACTACCTATCAAGTACATGGAATATTTCAACCATAACGTACTTATATCTTAATAATATTTATGTTATTAAATGCGCTTATCATGCTTTTACATT